AACTCTATGTTCCTTATCTGAAATATATCTTATGGTGTAAAACGTCTATAAATAAAACAAAAAAAACTTGAGAGCTGTAACCAAGACAACTGTAACAACATGAGTAGAGAGCCACCAAGGTTTTTCAAGTCCCTCTCTTACTCCATTTTGCCAACCCAAACTTCCAGGTACATGACGGGACACCTTGCTTGTTTTTGTTGTTTGCGCTCCTCTGGCAGGTGGAGGGCAGTGATCCCTTCCCTTCTTCCCTCAATCTTTGAGACTAATGTAAGTAGAAGACATGGCACTGTAAATGTTCGAACATTTAAAATATTATACCACTTAAAAATAAGAAATATTACTTTTGTTACTAAGAGTTCATACTTATTATACCTGTGTCACCTTTCACACTATCGCTGTGATCATGAGCTATGGGCTTTGTAGATACAGGTCCCGGGGTGAATCGTGGTGCAGGGGCCCTTCTCTTTTTGACCACAGGGCGATGCACGAAGATGGTGGGTATAGCCTCTGCTCTCAGCCTAGTCTTGCCCTTTTTTGTCTTGACAAACTGGTCTGCATCAAAATGTGCCTGCGGAGTGACTTGAGGTTACTTCACACACAGAACAACTCAGTTTTGTCTGCCCACATACATATTCCATAGTGGTTGAATACACAGTATTAGGAAACACTTTATACTTACTGGACATGTTATACTCATTACATACTGTATATACAATATGACCAAGAATGTGAGACAACTTTATAGAAATTCATATCACATATGTTACTGATGCCATTTGTCATACTTTGTTAAACTCACAAATAATAAAGTTCCATAACTTCAGTTGGGAACAAAGACCACACCTTATCTCCCCAAGGCAATTTCCCATCCAATAGGTGCGCTATATAGGTGTGTATAACCCTTTCTCCTGTCTGTTTATCCCTCTTTCAGCACAAGAACCAGAGGGGGATTCAATGGAGCCTGAATACCTGCACTGAGACCCTCACCCTGCACCCTGAGTCTCAACTCTCAGTGTTTTTCAAGCCTTTCCCTGTTTTTTGTATTAAACAAAACATTAAGCTTTCCCAATGGTGTGGTTTTCGTTTTGTGAAAAAGTGCAAATGCAGTGTTTGTATATAAATCACATATTTTTTTGCTGTTGGTCGTGAAATTGCTCCTGCTTCCTCCGCTCTGTGTCAGTGGGGAAGCTGTACATTCGTACTCCTTTCTCTGAGCGATTGGAGCATCCCCAGGCAGCACAGCAAACCATGGTGGCGACTAGGAGGCAGCACAGCAAACCAGGACAACAAGGAGGAAAAGGCACAGACAAACTGCATGATATGCTATTCAATGTTTATTGAATTCCATGTATTTGCAATGGATGTTCCTAAAACAACACATTTAACATCATCATCATCATCATGCTGCTGCTGCTAGTCCTTTGATAGTCACCTGTCGGTCTCCTGTCCTTTCTGAAAGCCATAAAGAAGACATTAGTCATTTAGATAACTTGTGTCCTCAATTACCATGGTTACTGAAACTACCATGACTTTAAGAAAATGGTAGACATGAATCTAATCTGAATTTTAAAGCATTACTTTAGATCCCCTCCCTCTAAATATATCAATAAACATTAGAAAGTGATGCTCCTGACTACCATACAAGTTTAAGAAGATAATATTGGTTTTAAAGAATTCAAAGCTATAAATAAACAGCAACAGGCTCTTTAACCAAGGCACTGTTAGCCTAACATGTAAACTAGTTGTTCACACTAATCCTAATATTATCACTTAATATTAGCAAATTCTATTTTATTTTTTAAAACATATTGATGTAAATACATACACATATCGATTTGTTGTATAAATATTGCAAATCAAAACCTTTATTCACTAATAATTACCAAAAATCGTAGTTCTATCTCCTGTTATCAATGCATTCACATTGCCCGCCATGAACTTCCGGGGAACGATCCTCGTCTACATGAACCACGTGACGATAACCGTTTTTGGACTTCCGTTGTCATAACTCTTCTATTATATGGCTCTGGGTGGGGGGCTTCTTCCTGACAAACAGCCAGGTGAGAAATACCTCATAGCATTTATTAAAAGTTCTTTATGCAAGGATGATATCTCCTGTACCGTCTATTTATGCATGTCTGTTGATCATTCATCTGTCTCTCTACAGGAAACCCAAACATGTCGGGATACAACAAAAATAAACGTTAACCCTGAACTAAGAAGTAAGCATAACTTAAGTAAATAGCTCTTAATATTATAATTCAGAGTTTTATTCCTCAGTGTTCTGATTGAAAATACTTCCCTTTCCTCCATAGATGGACAAGGAAGACGTGCATGCCAACCTTTCCAAATCCAAAAGAGGTAGGTTTGCGCACGGCAAATGTGCACGCCCAAATGAGGTAATCAGAAGAAATGGAACCCCAGTAATTACATGTATAAACCATGTATTTAATTGCATCATTTTATGCAATTTTCAGAAAAAGTGGTAGTTTGGTAAACAGTGACATCAACGACATGTCTGGTCTGTAAAATGCACGAAAAGTAAATGAATGGGAGATAAATATCCCAAAGTCTCCACATTTTATTATATTTTTAATGTGCTTCTGGTCCTCTTTCAGTTGAGACAGTGTAGATCAGGGGTGCCCAACCTTTTTTGAACCGAGAGCTGCTTTTAAAATTGCCAGTCTGCCGAGATCTACCAGTCCAAATAGAGAGGCGTAGCCATTAATGACAGCCAGGTAAATACACACTTCTACTTGTATAAAACTGACCTTTGTACGATTAATACTCCATCAAATACTGCAGATCCTTTATCTTACCTCTTTCTAATCTACACACATACAAGTATTTAACTGAAGTTACACAGCAGTGTTGTTGATACAGGGTTGGTGTTTATTCACACGTTACTACAGTGGGTAATGTTTTCAAGAAACATTGAACAGTGCTGCCACATATGACACAGGAACAAAAGAAAAGACTGAACCCTTTCTGCCATTATATACAAATAGTGTTGCTACAAAAGTATAAATTAGGCTTACTAATAAGACAACTCAGATCTGAAGCTACACAGGAATCTGCTGCCAAAGTGCAATAAAAAAGACAAAATTAATAGAATCAAACCCTTTTTTTGTTGCATTTTAGTAGAGTATAAAAAGAAATGCCTTTAAAATAGGATGCAAGCAACACTAGTTTCTTAACCTGAACTGATAATAGACTATAATCAATTTAAACAGAACAGATCTGAATGTTTGCATTCTTATACCATTTTGTACAATAATTATAATGAATAAGTTCAAACAAACTAAAACTTACAGCTGATTAATAACGGTATCTAACTTGAGTTTTTATTATTTCCAAAAGCTGTTGAAATGCTACCGTTATTTTTACTGTCCCCAAAAAGCGCGTCGGCAGCCTCCAGGAAAGCTTCTTTCACAACTTCGCCGTCTTTGAAAGACTTCATGTGTTTCGCAAGAACGTGACTGACACGATAAGATGCAATGGTAGCAGTCTTGCTCTTGTTGTTGGGCCTGGTGAAAATGGACTGCTGTGCATTTAGCTGTCCTTTCAGGCCCCTCCCCTTTTGGGAGCGTAGGGCAGAATTAGGAGGGAATTCCGTCTCGTAGCCTTTGTGCACTGTTTTGAAATGTCGCTCCTAAATTACCCTTCTTCGATAAAGCCACGCTCGCATTGCAGATGAGACAGATGGACTTTGAATTGGAATAGATACAAAAATAATCATCCTCCCGCTCGGAGTGAAAATTATATATTTTGGACTTTTTTTTTTGACACGGACACAGTGCTGGAATTGGGCCGGTACTCACCGGTACGCAGTACCGGCACTTCTGGTTCTGACCCATGGAGTACCAGCACTTCTTGCTCAGTACCGGTGTTGTGTCACATTATGCCTCCCCGTCATGAAATGCCCCCCTTGTCACGGGAACGCGCATTTCTAAATGACACGTTTACACCTCTAAATGACACGTTAACACCATAGGTTTACACCTTAAAACGATGTTTAAAACGAAAAGTAAACGTTCAGGGTTTTTATTAATGGTAATTTTCAGACTGTGAGTTGTTTAGTGGTAGCTCATAGTCTTGATTCTTCTGGTTTAACTTTTCGCTCCGTATTTGAGGTGTCGAAATTCGTTCGTCACTTCCTTTTCAGTTTGTTTTTTTAAATGTTTTTTTTATCATTATTGTTACGTCCTGTCTGTATAAACGTGCTTTAAAATGTATTGTTTAATTTTACATAGTTGTCATCTAATAATCAAAATATGTTTACAAATGTTACATAGTCTTTGTCAGCATATATGCTATGCGTACAAAATAAAAGTGTGACATTCATGAAACTTGCTCCATTTATTGGTATCAGTCCTAGAACCATACCCTGAAAAATGCTTGAGGGTGGGATTCATAGAAACCTCTTTTGGTGGGGGGGGCATTATATGACAGGCCTGGCCATCACAATATGCCCCCCCTTGCTATCTTACAAAATAAAAGTGTCACATTCATGAAACTTGCTCCATTTATTGGTACCAGTCCTAGAACCATACCCTGAAAAATGCTTGAGGGTGGGATTCATAGAAACCTCTTTTTTTGGGGGGGGGGGCATTTTATGACAGGCCTAGCCATCACAATATTCCCCCCCCTTGCTATCTTACAAAATAAAAGTGTCACATTCATGAAACTTGCTCCATTTATTGGTACCAGTCCTAGAACCATACCCTGAAAAATGCTTGAGGGTGGGATTCATAAAAACCTCTTTTGGTGGGGGGGGGGGGGGCATTTTATGACAGGCCTGGCCATCACAATATGCCCCCCCTTGCTATCTTACAAAATAAAAGTGTCACATTCATGAAACTTGCTCCATTTATTGGTACCAGTCCTAGAACCATACCCTGAAAAATGCTTGAGGGTGGGATTCATAGAAACCTCTTTTGGTGGGGGGGGCATTATATGACAGGCCTGGCCATCACAATATGCCCCCCCTTGCTATCTTACAAAATAAAAGTGTCACATTCATGAAACTTGCTCCATTTATTGGTACCAGTCCTAGAACCATACCCAGAAAAATCAACCAGCGCAATGACGGTCAAGCAGCTGTTATTGACAGCTACGCTATGACCGCCATCTGGAAACACACATTTGGAAGAATCCGGGTATGTACATGATTGGAATAACTTTGCTTTTGTAAATGTTGCAAATGTGCATTTTTCAACAGGAATGTAATACTTGTGCAACTACTCTCAGGTTGATCCAATGGCACACAGTCATCGTGGGAATTGTGAACGAGAACCATCATTGGATGTTGGTGGTGAGAATAGGAGCATATTTTAAGCTCCAATCTGTATCTATAGTGCTGTATACACCATATATAATTAGTGATTTGCAAGATAACCGGGCCACACATACATGCTGTCACTTATTATTGATCAAATCTAAACAATACCCTACATCGTACCTGCGTAATGTATGGTTCCTGCCTAATGCATGTTGTGTTTCCATGTGAATAATAAAAGGTAATGTACCCCCATGAGAAGAAAACCCTCTTCTTGGATCCACTTGGAGAAGGGAAAGGCAAAACGAAGGTGTGCCTGCAGTCTACAAGGTACATTTGATACAGTGTACTAGTTCCGGTGTTTTATGAGTATTTTGACAATGATGTGCTGCATCTTGACACATGTACTATATACATACTGTAGAGCCTTTATGAGGATGAAAGGCTGCAAGGTGTCAAGATGGACATGCAGCACCCTCCCCCATAATCGCCAACAAGACAGCACATCCTGTGGTGTCCTGGCCTTAAAAGTGAGTGTGAAATGCATTTAGCCAAACATTACTCTCAAACTCAAATTCAGTAGCAATTAGACTGAATATCTTGACTTGCTTTTATACATCTTGATCAAAGATGTATTGAATTGTGTCAAACTACACATATACAACATGTCATTCTTTAAATCTGTTGGGTAATTTGTCTGTATTCCATTTGAGGGTAAAATCATAGACCATGCAGTCCATATACTAATCAAGGTTCTCTTCAGTTTGCAGAGAAGATTTTACTGGGGGAGTCAATTGAGTTTGAAAGCTCACAGAAGGCAGTGCACGAGCTGAGGCTGGACATTGCTACTTCTCTCCTCAGAGAATCTGGTTTGTTACCTTTTCTCAACATTGTCAATGACTTCATGTAGTTACTTTTATTAATTGTATCTCATAAGTATGCATCAATAACCTAGTATATTAATAATGTGCCATGCAAATTGTTGTATTGTATCACTGCTTGGACCATTGGTACTGTTGACCAGGGACATTATCAGGGTTTTAAAAGCAACACAGTGGCTTAAGTATAGATTAGGGTAAATAGTCACTACATACAGTATATTGTGTATCTCAACTCCAAACAGATAACATATGAAGCATCGCAGGCAGGCATCTTCAACTGCAATTTCATATAGGCTACACACGTCACACTCTAACACACCCTTTCAATTCTGCGGTTTATTTAAGATGTGAGATTTCCCCATCTTCCTCCTTTCAATGTGCTCATTGGTGTGTATTACTTTTAACTGATATCCTCAGTTAATTTTTACCTTGAATTTATTATAATCTAAGCTGTAAAGCTAATGTGATGAACAACAAAAGAACCATGAGAACCAAACTTAAATTGATGCGTACAGTGCGAAAGAAGTTTTTGGATGTTTTGTAATGACATTGTGCAGGTTCCCATTCTAAAGAGGGTAAGGAGAGAGTGAAAGAAGGAGCAGATGGCTCCTCTGTGCTCAGATTTAATCATTTAGAAAATCTATGTGTTTGTGTGTGTTTTGCCTTTTCTTCACACAAAATAATAAAAGACCACAACAAATGTGTCCTTATATAATTGACCTTTTAGTCAAAAATTGGAATGGGTCACCTTGACCCCAAATCTGTAATGTGGTTTATCTGAAGATATTGATTACGTTTTGTCTCAACAGATGATCTAAGCAGGCTTTGCTTTTACTGCGGGATGGAGGAGCAGGATGAAGAACATTGGGTAATTTCCTATTGCACATTACAAATAAAGAAAATTAGCAGAAATATGTTTCCAGACTTTATCAACATAACATTTGCGTTGGTAATTGCTACTATATTTGGCATCTTCAGCATTAACTGATAAAGGATTAATGTTTTGCTTGTTTTTCCATACATTTTTGTTGAAAATGTATTTCTTTCTCATAACACAACATTTATGTTTTTGAAAGATTTCGATTATTGAAGGAATGGTTAGAATGTTAGTGGGAAATACATTAGAGATATTCTATTATCATAACAAAATCCCATAATGCATACCTTACATAACAAGTATTTATTGTTTTCTCAGATTTGCTGTGACATTTGTCAGCAGTGGTACCACCACCAATGTGTACAAAGGCCGCCAGTTGATCAACCGTACTTGTGCCCTGGATGCACATAATGCCCCGAAGGAACCATCATTAACTGTCCACTGTCATTTCAACCAATGCAACTATTGTTTGGCCTGTCATAAAATGCACCCCACCCCAAAAGAGGTTTCTATGAATCCCACCGTCAAGCATTTTTCAGGGTATGGTTCTAGGACTGGTACCAATAAATGGAGCAAGTTTCATGAATGTGACACTTTTATGTTGTAAGATAGCAAGGGGGGGCATATTGTGATGGCCAGGCCTGTCATAAAATTCCCCCCCACCAAAAGAGGTTTCTATGAATCCCACCCTCAAGCATTTTTCAGGGTATGGTTCTAGGACTGGTACCAATAAATGGAGCAAGTTTCATGAATGTGACACTTTTATGTTGTAAGATAGCAAGGGGGGGGCATATTGTGATGGCCAGGCCTGTCATATAATGCCCCCCCCCACCAAAAGAGGTTTCTATGAATCCCACCCTCAAGCATTTTTCAGGGTATGGTTCTAGGACTGGTACCAATAAATGGAGCAAGTTTCATGAATGTCACACTTTTATTTTGTACGCATAGCATATATGCTGACAAAGACTATGTAACATTTGTAAACATATTTTGATTATTAGATGACAACTATGTAAAATTAAACAATACATTTTAAAGCACGTTTATACAGACAGGACGTAACAATAATGATAAAAAAAAACATTTAAAAAAACAAACTGAAAAGGAAGTGACGAACGAATTTCGACACCTCAAATACGGAGCGAAAAGTTAAACCAGAAGAATCAAGACTATGAGCTACCACTAAACAACTCACAGTCTGAAAATTACCATTAATAAAAACCCTGAACGTTTACTTTTCGTTTTAAACATCGTTTTAAGGTGTAAACCTATGGTGTTAACGTGTCATTTAGAGGTGAAACGTGTCATTTAGAAATGCGCGTTCCCGTGACAAGGGGGGCATTTCATGACGGGGAGGCATAATGTGACACAACACCGGCATGCTGGCGGTACTCCGGTACTCATGCACCGTGCCAGTACTCAACACTCTCCCGCCGTTCTTATTATACATCCATATATATATATACAGCCGCCCGGTACTCAGTAGATGCGTCATGAGGTGCCGAACGGACATTCTCATCGCTATAACCGCTGGAGTTTCACAGCGGCTGTCAGCTGTTTACTCCTGTCATTCAAACAGAACGTGCTGGAGAGGGGGCGGGGCTTATCTTCTCCATGTAAATACTGTGGTGGAAACGACTATGTCAAAATTAACCTATTTGACCGTGATTTAATAGTAATACACGTTTCAAAATAATAATAATAATGCCGAAGTAACAACATACTGAAAACTGTTAGTAAAACCATGTTTTAATGCTTTACAATTTACATACCTAGATGCACGTGTGTTGTGTTTATGCAGTGCAACTCCCACCCAGTGGGTGGCTATGTAGAGTGATAGAACAGAGCAGGCACGCCCCCTAGAGAAGGAAAGCAAGTCACGTCACAAATTAGCATTTCTAAAATGTTAGCGTGGATTAATAAAAGTGCAAAAAGACAGCGGTTGTCGCCGGAAGAAACTTCAAATACAGAGAATGCTGTGCCTGTGTTGGAAATTGTGTCTGATGGGGAGCTTTCTTTGGTTGATCCTCCTGCTCCAAGTTCTAGTGCATTAGCATTAGCACTAGCTCCGCCGCCTCCTCCAGAGCCTCTAAAGTTAGCTGCTGCTGGCTCAACTGCCACCACCAACACCGGGCAAAGCGATGCACCTGACTGCTGGACAACGGACCAGGTACAATATTTTTGCAAGACCAATGCATGGCTCCTTCTTAAAGATAAGAAGCTAGGATGTCGGATATGCAGAGATGTCAAATCTTTGGGAATACACACTGGACAAGGACTGAAACTGTCAACTGAATGGGGTGAGTGTGCAGTGTCTCATTTCGGTGTTGACAAGGGCAAACAACAAGCTAGCCTGAGAAAAAAAATCAAAGAACATAAAGAATCACAAGCCCATGTAAAAGCTGCTGACATCCTTACATCTGCTTCACGTGAAACTATTCAACATCAAGTGCAGTCTATGCATACATCTGAATTAGACACCACTATCAGAGTTTTTCGAACGGCATATACAATTGGCAAACATAGCCGGCCATTCACAGACATGCCAATTGATTTGAATGTACAGAAACGGAATGGGCTGAACGTGGGCAGGGTTTTGCACTCCAATAAAACCTGTGGCGAAATCATCGACCACATAGCTCATGAGCTGAAGAAAAAAATGGCAAAAGACATTACAGAAAACCAAAGAAAACTCTGTGTTTTGGTCGATGAATATACCACTATTAGTGGTAAAACGGTGCTTGTTGTGTGTCTACGCTCAGCATTAGCTGATGCTGAGCCCGAAACGTTTTTTTGGGAGCTGATCGAGTTGGATGGAACAACGGCTGATGACATCACAAAGGCGTTAATGGAGTGTCTTGGAAGAGATTTTAACGAGGACTTTTTAGGTCAGTGTTTCGTTTCTTTTGCATGTGATGGGGCTTCAGTCATGCTAGGGAAGAGAACAGGCGTTGCTACCCAGTTGTGTAGTAAATTCCAAAGCCTGTTTGTGTGGCACTGCTCCAATCATCGTCTAGAGCTGGCAGTTGGGGATGTGGTCAAGGAGGTCTCAGGGCTCAATCATTTCCAGATCTTTTTTGACAAACTCTATTCCTTGTTCCATGCCTCCCCCAAAAATCAGAGGCAGTTAGCGCAGTGTGCGCAAGCAGTCGGACAGCGTCTCCTGGTGATAGGGCGTGTTTTGTCCATCCGCTGGGTGGCTTCAAGTGAAAGGAGCGTCAGAGCAGTCTGGGAAAACTACCGAGTGCTTCATGATCACTTCACAAATGCTGCAAACGACACGAGCAGGGATTCCAGAGACAGAGCAAAGTACAAGGGCCTGGATGATGTGCTCACATCTGCAACGTTTGTCAGCAATCTGGGACTGATGTACGATGCGCTCACAGAGCTCAGCGACCTCTCTCGGCAACTCCAAAAAAGAGAGATGACACTGCCTACAGCAGATAGGCTCTTAACTCGAGAAATACGAGTTTTTGAATCCATGGTCACCATGCCTGGCCCACACATGACTACAGTTCATACAGCTCTAGCTGAGAAGTCCTTCAAGGGTGTTGCCCTGCGTGAGAATGGCAGGCTTGTACAGATTCATGCAGGTCAGTTTTTCCGCAGTATGGTAGAGAATCTGAGACACAGAATGACTTCCACAACCTCCTCTCATGTCAGCACAAGAGAAATCCCATTACATGGCCGGGAGGCCCGGGACAATCAGCTAATCCAGGACATGAAAGTTATCCATCCTGGAAGTTGGCCTGAAGAGGAGTTAGACGTACAGTATGGGGACGTAGAGGTGCTACGTTTGTGCGAAGTGCTGAAAGTGGACAGAAGAGAGACTGTTCAGGGCTTTCGCGAATACAAGGAAACCAGGGCATCCCGTACACCTGCTGCCATGGAGCCTCTACTGAAAGCAGTCCGAACCATCGCTGTCTCCACTAGTGAGTGTGAGCGGGCATTCAGCTGCATGAACGATATCCTTACTGCAAAAAGGAATGCTCTCTCTGTCAGCCGACTGTCCAGCCTGGTTTTCATTAAATGTAATGGACCATCACTAGGACAGTTCAATCCGGAACAGTATGTGAGGTCCTGGCTGGCAAAGGGAAGGAGAAGTGCTGATGAAAGAGCCTGTCCAGCTCCAGCCCCTGATACTGATGTCCCCAAGGCCTTCTGGAGCCTTTTCTAACAATGTGAAGTATATTGCAAAGCAGCTCACCCAGTGAGAAGACTTTTGGCATAATGTGCCGATTTGTACAGATCCTGGAGATAGAAGGACTTCAGACCAACCAGGGAGTTATCTGATCAGCTTGGTGTTCAATGTAACTCTTTACCATGGCTCAGACTTTGTTACTTGCAGTTACAGTTTCTCATTTTAGATTGTGCACATTTTGCATTTGTTTTTACATGTTCTTTGTTCATGCTCTTTATCATTTTTCTGAGTTGGAAAGTTAGATTGCATCATAGTTTACTTTATACATATTTGTATTCTTCAGTGGTGAAGTATATTGCAAAGCAGCTCAGCCATGTGAGAAGACTTTTGGCACTTTTTCGTTTTTCGTTTTCTGAGTTGGAAAGTTAGATTGCATTCAAAATGTACAGAAATACTTAATTTTGTTAAAGCTTTTTATAAAAAATGCTTCTGACCAGAGCTTTGTTTCCTTGTCATTAATGTTGAACACCACCAGAGGGGCTCTCACCTGAAAGGTCTTTGCTTCATGTGTCTTCAGCAGAAGATCTAGACTTTGATTGCTATATTTTCAGTTAATATTGACCTTACTGAGCTTTAGCCATATCCGCTGCCTATCATAAAAAATGTTAAGTACAGTGAACCTTTCTAAAATATACAGTAGTAAAGAGACAAACCCACCAGCATTATAGTAGCCAAATTCTTGTTTGTGGGCTGTATATATAAAATTGACTTGAAAAAGTTGCTGATTTTAGAGTACTGGCACCTTTTTCATTCCAATTCAAGCACTGCACGGACAACATCAGCGCCCACTGCCCACCAGCCACGCCCCGACACATGGGGTCACGCCGGCCAATCACAACGCTTTGATGCGTTCAAGTGCATTATTCTGGTACAGGAAGTTTATGTTATAGGACATTCATTTCTATTTTTAGACACATCTCGCGATCGACTGGGAATCTCCCCGCGATCGACCGATCGGGCACCCCTGGTAGATGAAGGATGTGTCAGGATGTAGAACTCTTGTGTGAACATTGGATAAAGCCAGGTTCATATTCTTATTTCATGTTGTTGACATATTAGAGTCAAAGGTTTGCACAGAGCGAAATATCTTTGTTTTGCGCCATGAATCAGAAAATACTGCATTAAAAAAGTCATTTCCTGCATTTTTCTACTGATAAAGTTTGATGTAAATAATGTACAGTCTTTCAGATTGCTGTAGTTCACTAAACAGAGACATTAACGACATGTTTGGTGTTGAAAATGTCAGAAAAAGTGAAAGAATGGGAGATAAATATCCCCAAATCTCAAAATTGTATTATATTTTGTGTGTGTTGGTGGTCCTCTTTCAGATGAGACACTGTAGGATGCTTCCGGAAAAACACTGGATGTCTTTCAGTCGCCAACATGTGTTTTCGAGACA